AATATGAGTGCTACTCACTGGATACTGTCCATTATAATAATAATATAATATAATAATAATAAAATAATGATCTACAATCATTGACTGATGTCAAAGCCAACCCACTCACCTGAATAAGTTGCCAAACCCTACTGTTAGTATTTTTAGGTCTCAGCGTAAACTGCATCAGGCAGAATAAATTTTCCTTTTCCCTACATTGTAGAAATCTGTCCATCTGGTTGAGTGGTGGAATTTTTTCATAGTCATTGTCTGAAAAAAAAAGTATCATCGTAAAAGCAATCGCTGACTTCAGTGAGATTTTTTCATTGGTGAGAAAGGTTAGCATTTGCATTTTGAATTCTAGAATGGGTCCAAAATAAGCACTTCTCCTAAACACCAGAACTGCAATACAAAACGCGTGTCACCAACAAGGTTGGCGTCTCCAGGAAATGAAGTAAACTCATTTACATCAATTCTAGTGTTTGGAAAAAGTGTTTGTTTTGTGTTTATTCCACAGGTTTTGATTTTATATTTTATTCCAAAATGAGTACCTGCTATGAGGATGTTGTACAAGTTATTCCATAGGTGAATGAATCCAGAATAATGAATAGTGCTATGGCGAACTGGAAAGTAGATAGTTGAAAAGAAGGCTGACCGAAAGAAAAATTGAGAGTCGTAGAGAAGGAGATGCTGAACTGTTCGATTAATTCAAGGTATTAGCTTTAATAGGATGTAGCCTATACCTTTAACCTACGGAGAACTTCGATTAGGAATCCAGGTTTGTTAGTTTCAGGCACGCCTGAACGACTAAATGCATTTAGATGAAACTTTACATATTTTCGGCTTATACATCAGATTAAAATTAAGGCTACAATTAACAAAGGTTTTCTGTAATTTTGGTCGTAATATAACGATAAGTATCAATGCACATTTTATGATATCTGTCAAATTTTTATAAAAATTGGTACAATCGTCGTTTAGAGTATTCAATATAGATAAACTTTGTCTTTTACAGTAAGTAATTAGGAGAAATCGTTCGAAAGTTATCATGATGAAAATAACCTGACGCAACGCAGTGAGCCATTACGCATCGCGTCTACTGTAAGACGAAGGGGGACGATGCGCGGGGGTATAGGGGCGGTCTAAAAATGAAGCGCCATTGCCGTGAATGCATCCCAAACGCGGACAGACGCGTGAGGGCAGACGTCGTTGACGGTTGTGTTAGTTTTGCTAATTTCTTCATAAATAACATAATTCGAGTTTCGAAGCTATTCATTACTTAATGCAGTTGACATATTTTTCCAGTTACTGTATTTTCAAAGTAATAATATCAATTACGATCTGTTGTTCTCTCTTATATTAACTTACACTCGAAGCTACTGAACCTAGAATCTTGAAATATGCAGGTAGGTTCTTTGTATAGCGTAAATAAGCATCAAGAAAGGAAATCAGCTATTTCCACCCCCCAAGTGGGAAAAATAAGGGTTTGAAGATTGCACTGAGTTTCGTCAGTTTTGAAATTGAAAACCTAAAATTTTCGGTTATTAAACAAGTATTGTAACTATTTGTTCAAAATGGTGACAAACAAAACTCTGCGCGGGCAAAGCTGCGGGCAACAACTAGTAAACACTATGTAAAAGCTAAGGGACTGAAGTTGAACCTGTTAATAAATAAGGGTTAACGTTAGGGTTCCTTGCTGATCGATCAACAAGAAGTTGAAAATTCTTCATATTACCGTTTCATTCATAATCTAATACAATCGATAATTATTCGCTCGTATTATTACTAGAATTGTAGACTTGAATAGAATTGTGATGCACTCTTTGGTACCTTTGGGGTACTAATGAATATTACTGGAGTTCTATCCTAACACCAAACCGTAATTTTCAACACCTCGACACATGTTTCAGTCACCAAGTAATCATCTACAGGATGAAGATTGAACTAGTTTAATCTTTCTCTTGAAGATGAAATCTTGGTGATTGAAACACGTATCGAGGTGTTGAAGATAACGGTTTGGTGTCGGGATAAAACTCTAGTGATATTCATTGAATGGAATTGTGATGAAATAGCCCGACACTTGATTAAATCACATAACGTGATACTTTGTTGTGAGATTTTCACTGTACAGTTTTCAAAACCGCAACATGTATTTCACTTCACAATAGACCTGTTCGTACTATGGAGTGTATATATATTTTTTAAACTTAGACAAAGTTCAATCCTATGTCACATAATTATAAAACTTATACTGTAATTGAAGAGTCCAAGACCCATCAGACTCTTCAGGTTCTTTTTTTCCTCCTTGGCAGGCTCAGCAGCAGCTGCTGCCGCAGCTAGCGCTGCAGCACCTCCAGCCGAAGGTGCACTTCTTACTTCAGACCCAGTGATGGTGTAGTTCCCTTACATTAATTCCTTCTAGCGCTTTCGCAAAAAGACCAGGGCAGTGTGGTTCTACGTCAATGTTGGCTGCAATATCATCATCAATCAGAATAAGGGCTGAACCCAAGCAAGTTCGGCGTTGTTTTCGTACTTCGAGTAACCAAATCCTTGGAGATATTGAAACACATCATGGAATTAGTTTGTAGTAACAATGGGCCAAAAAATCCCGTAGGGGCTCCCTTAGGATATGTGTTGCAATTGACCAATACCCAAATTGTATGGACTTGCCTATCGTGTTGTGCTACACGTGTTGTGATTTCGTAAACTGTTCATTGTAAATCTCAGGAAAAGGATCTAAAGCCGTTGGGACAAGTAAACCTCCGGTGCAATGGATAATAATTGAAAAATTGTTTGTGTTGAACTGGATATTTTTGGTGATCATCTTCAGGAGAAAGTTAAAAAAAGGTGTCAAAAATAATGGTTTGGTGTTGGGACTGAACTCCAGTAATATTCATTGCTACACCAAAGGTTCCAAACAGTGCATCACAAGTAGTTATATTCGACTCCTCATATTTTAAAGTCACCCTGAGTTTATTGGAAATTATTTTGAAAATTTGATACAAACCTGTCATTCCTTGACATATCAAATTGAACTGGGATTTGAAGGGTTTATATGTGATTCATTCATATATTTATTATTTTCATTCCGTATTACATCCTGCATTTGACGTATTCGAATAAATTTCGAGTATTTCCATTATCATTTGTTTTTTTTCAGTTTTTCAAATAATGAAGAATGAAGGGATGATGTAGTAGAAGTATATTTTTTCAGCACAACCTACAATAAGAATGATCGAGTTTCTCACCTATGCTTTTGGTAATACTGCTATGCACAATAAAGCACCACAAAAAAATTTTCCACATGTTCACACGCTTCTAATGTGTCAGGCGTTCTGAAGAAAAACTATGTGCGTGGTGTATAAGTTACAAAAAAGATAACTACGAGAAAAACAAGGTAATCGAGTTGTATTTATTTACAGAAACGGTTGGTTGAAGAACATTACATATAGAGCTGAATTTGATAAACAATTACAAACGAGGACGTGTACTAGAATATGATTTCCGGAAAAATTGTTGCTTCCATTTAATTGTCTTTTTTGAATATAATCATCGATGTCCTCACATAAAAAAATATTAGTTCTTGGATATATGGTTACTGAATAAAAATTGCACTATAGAAAATGGTTGAATTTCACAACAAATAGAAAACAGCTAGATCAAACGTGAACCCCACATCAGAACTTGCGCCTAGATCGGATTGACTGTCCACACTTCAGGAAATTAATGAATATTTGGAGCAAACTTCAACGAGTCGTAATAATTTCCTGATTACACGCTAAGACTCGTCTGTAACGTTTCGTCGTTACAAATAATCCGTTACGTTTTGTCGCACAGTGTAAAGTTGCCTTTACAATGATGTGGTTTGTAATTCTATGATTTTCAGAGCAAACTTACCGTAATACACAATAGCTGAACCAATTTATGAAATTTATGAATGAAATTAATAGAAACATACAGTTCACACTCGAAACAGAGATAGAGAAAGTGATTTATTCCTTAGACCTGGTCATCACATTTATTCATAATGGATTTGAGTTCAATGTATTCAGGAAACCAAGCTATTTAGACATGACAATCCAAAGTGATTCTTTCCATCCCAAGAAACATAAATTAGCAGCCTACAATTCAATATCACACAGAGCATTCCCGTTACATTTGTCTGCTAACAATCTAGTTAGGGAAATTGAAACAATCATACAGATATGACAGACACAATCAAAAAGTTAGAAAACAAAGTCTCAAATTCACGCACTCTGGTCAAATGCGCCTCTAAGAAAGCAACGATAACTCATATAACTCACATCAAACAATCAAGAAATTTGTAACTTAGACATATTTTGGTAAAAAAAAACAAAGACAATGTCGAAGTAGCATTCAGGTCACATACCAGGTTATCTAATTTCCTTTTCAATGCCAAAGATGAAGTGGACAAGATGTACAAATCTGGAGTTTATGACCTCAAGTGTGAGGAGTGTAATAGTGTTTATGTGGGACAATGTGGCCGCAATTCGACGTTTCCAAACAATTCCTTGGAATGCAACCACAAGTTCCTAAATCTAAGTGGTACGGAAATTTTGCACTATGCATACAAGGGTTGGAAACTCAATTATTTGAAATCCTGGAAAATTCATAAACACGTAAATACACGTAAACAAAATTCAGGTAATATACTCATTAAATTGTACATTATTTCGATTCATTTTATGTCATTGTAGGATGAAACTGCAGTAGCGTTAGTTAGTTTTAATACTCATTTTTCATGCAGATCTCACCGCAAAACAAGTTATGGAAGCTCCCTAAACCTTGAAAGTCTCTCCACTTCCATATAAAGAATTCAAATGAGGTGGAAATGAAAAAGTTAAGCAACAGTGGTTCCCACGATGCTAGAACTGGAACGATACACTGAAAAATACCAAGTGAGATAGAATGAATAAATTGCGGACTTCAAGTAATACTCCGAAGAACACTAATTGAAGATACCAAATTGATCCACAAGAATATCCACAAGAAGGAGGAGTACATTGATTTTGGAATCTGTAAAATACAGCTCACAGTGGGATGTCCCACCCTTCTTCATCAATGGTAAACCTATGGATTATATTATCGCCTTCGAGAGAACCTACTTGAAAATAAAATCAACTACCTCTTGGAATTTCTTCAGATAGTAATTATAATAAGTCAAAATTGATGGACTTGGGTTTTTAACCTGAGTATTGGAACTCAACGAAGTTGATTCCACTAATTCAAAAAAGAATTTGCCACTATAT